AACATCCGGCAAGCACGAATGACATTAGGGCACCCTCCCCGAACCGACCTCGACCTTTAGAGGCCTCCTGGATGGTGTCGGACTAGATGGGGTCGGAGGATCGCGCCGCATCGCTAATGCATCGGCGATGCATTGGCGATGCAACGGCGACGTCAGCCATGCATCGGCGACGCCAGCGTTGAGAAAGACGGGCCCCACATCGAGCCGCATCCTCGATGCATCGGCGATGCGGCGCGATGCGCCGACCCCAATCTGCTCCGACCCCATCCGGGAGGCCTGGAACCTTATACCTCGGTCCGACTGTACACTCACACCTTCCCGAGCCCAGTGCCGATGATCTCTGCGCTGGAGGCGATCCGTTCTTCCTCCTCCCCCTCCTCCTCCTCCCCCTCCTCCTCCTCCTCCTCCTCCTCCTCCTCCTCCTCCTCCTCCTCCTCCTCCTCCTCCTCCTCCTCCTCCTCCTCCTCCTCCTTCCTCCTCCTCCTCTGTGCCCAACGGGAGCTGCACCCGGGGCGGACAGCTCGGCTGGTGGGCACCACACCCTGCATGCACATCCAAAGACTCCCACCGCCGACGCGCTCCGTGAGGCTCCCGGGCGCTCATCTGCACGGTGAAAGAGCACTGGATGAGCGGCGGCGAGCGAGGGGGGGAAGCGAGAAGGAGAAGGCCTTCTCGGAAGGCGGCGGGACTTCCCAGAAGCCCTCGCGCCCTCCGAGAAGTCCTCTGCGTCTTCGGGGAAGGCTCAGAAAATCCCTCGCAAGGGCAGGGGAATTCCGTGCCTTCTGAGAAGGCGGGCCCCTTCTCACTTCCCCCCATGGCCCGCCGCCGAGACAAGGAACCCTTACACCATGAGTCTAGGGTCTGGAGGCCTGCGAGACACCACTTGAGGCTTGGCCGTGGATATCACCGCCGCTCTCATCAGATATGGGGAGTATCCAGGGCCTGAAGCTTCCTGCTCAGACATCCGGCCGCTCCATTTTTTGTTCGGATGCGTGGGCCCTGGAGGTCAGGACCACTTCCCCAGGGCCAGTTTTTCGTCCCGAGTCGGTTTGTGACGGCCCCGAGGCCCGGCGAAGGCCCCCGCAGGCCGAACACGGCCCCAGACCCGCCGATCCAAGTGTTCGGAATGTCGGATCTCTGGGTGGGCACGTTCCTCAATGAGCGCCCAAGCCGTAATGCCCAACCCCTGTGGGCTATCCTCGGGCGTTCAGGGCATGGGGGGCGGAAACGTGCACCTTTCGTGCCCCGTTGGGGCCCCAGGGGAGAGGCCTCGCAGAGGCGCCCCGACCCCGCCGGCTCCCGTCTCAGCGCCCCTGAGTTCTCCGAGGAGGGGGGGCAGGAGGAGGAGGAGGAGGAGGAGGAGGAGGAGGAGGAGGAGGAGGAGGGGGGGAGGGGGAGGAGGAGGAGGAGGAGGAGAGGAGGAGGAGGAGAGGAGGAGGAGGAGGAGGAGGAGGAGGAGGAGGGAAGGAGGAGAGGAGGAGGAGGAGAGGAGGAAGGAGGAGGAGGAGGAGGAGGAGGAGGAGGAGAGGGAAGAGGAGAGGGAAGAGGGAGGGAGGAGGGAGGCAAGAGGAGGAGGAGGAGGAGGAGGAGGAGGAGGAGGAGGAGGAGGGCGAGGAGGGAGGAGGGAGGAGGGGAAGAGGGAGGAGGAAGGGAGGAGGGAGGCAAGAGGAGGAGGAGGAGGAGGAGAAGGAGCAAAGAGTCATCAACGATGCTGGAATAAATCCTCCCTCCAATCTCCCTCTTCATAGGGCCCATACAAGGGTTCATTTCCATTGAAGGAACTGCCTCTTTGGAAGACAACAGTTTGAAGATCCTGAAGCATGCCAAAGCATTGTTCTCGGGAGGATTCCAACGCCACGGATCAACCTGACTGTTGCGTCTTGACAATCCTGAATCGTGCCAGAACGCCATGCCTGGAACTTCAACGCAGCGAATCCACATAACTGCTGCGCCCGCAAAATCAATAATCTTGTCAAAGCACAAATTCCTGGCACGCTGATGATGGGGACCCGTGGAGCCCTTGCAATTGTTATATACATATATATCTATATATATAGATAGATAGATATAAAAACGAATGTGCGCCGCGCTACGGCGAGAACCACATGTTGAAAAAGAACCGCCCCCAATCCGTGAAATTCTTGCAATTGTTTGCAACGAATGTGCGCCGCGCTACGGCGAGAGCCACATGTTGAAAACTACCCGCCCTCAATCGTGAAACTTTCGCAATTTTTGAAACGAATGTGCGCCGCGCTGAGGCGAGAGCCACAGTTTGAAAACCACCCGCCCTCAATCTGCGAAGCTCTTGCAATTGTTTAAAATGAATGTGCGCCGCGCTAAAGCGAAAGCCACATTTTGAAAACTACCCGCCCTCCATCTGTGAAACTGTTGTCAATGTTCAAGCTTCAGAATCGCAAATGGTGAGGAAGTCTCAAGCGAAACGCCCAGCCCGCCCTAAAAACTGGCCTCGGGATGCGACAGGGAGAAATTATTTATAAGGAAAAGGAATGGAGGAGGAGGAGGAGGAGGAGGAGGAGGAGGAGGAGGAGGAGGAGGGCGCAGGAGGAGGAGGAGGAGGAGGAGGAGGAGGAGGAGGGGGATCGGCGCAAGGTGGCCCGAGGCGCTCGCGCGGACGAGCGGGGGCCAGCGTTGGCGCAGACGAGCGGGGGTCGGCGCAGCGCGCGTGCGGGGGGGGGGGGAGAAACCAACAACTCATGCCCATACGTGCAAGGTTCGCGCGCCGTGCCGACCGCGGCGCTGGTTCCTGACACCGCGTGGGCCGTTCCACCTCGAATGATCGGCCGCTTCCAAAACGCCAGATCGTTCACGATGGTTTGATTCTGGGTCGCCGGCGGCGTTCCACGTTGAAAACGCTGGCGGCGAGGTCGCCGCCAGTCGACACGACACGAACCTGCCGTACGCTTCTCCCTGGGAGGGGGGAGGGCAGGTCGACACGTCAAACGATGCTTCTGAGGGGGTCTGGATTTCGATACGGTTGCACCGCTCCTGGGGGTTTGGGGTCCCAGACGCGCTGGCAACTATTTGTTTGACCCCCCCCGCTGTTCTTAGATCTGGAGTGCCGAGAGACGGAGAGAGAGCCATGAACTCTGGCTGATGCGGTCGGGAACTTTTGCTCAGCGTGTCGCGGCGGCGGCTCCAGCGGCACGCTTTGCTTCGCCAGCGGATGGCATGTCGATCCGCTCCGCGAGGCGGGAGGCTGGGAACAGCTCTGGACGCTGACGCTTGGTCGGGGAGACGTAAGACCCGGGTACGGGGGACTCGGAAATCCCCGACGAGGTCGTCAAAAAAATGACGAGGCCGAGCCTGCATTTTGACGAGGCCTCCCGCTGCAGACATCCCACGAAACTCCTCCTCGTCAAAATCCGAGTCGCGGTCGTCAAAAAACGATGGCGAACCCGAGTCCCGGCAAACCCGGGTCTTACGCTCCCCCGACTTGGGAGTGGGACCGTAGATCGCGTGTCGTGCCGAGGCGAGGCGTGGTGGGCCAGAACCGGGGGAGGGACACGCCAAGCCAAAGCTTCTGACCGTATCCCTCGCCTCGGCTCCTCTCAGACGCCCCCCGTGATCCGCCGGTGCCGCTGCCTGGGGCGCCTCCCAGGCCGGGCCGAGGCAGACGGGGCTGTCACGTGCCTTGCCTGCGCGTGTCCTCTCTCCGCCCGTCTCGGCGACACGCTGATCCTCTGACGCGACAGTGGCTTGCAGCCAGCGGTGTCCAATAAAGTCCATAGGGGCGCTGACACCGTCGCGAATGCGCGCAGCAAGCCGACATCCTCAGCGAGTGCTGGACGTAGCCGGACGCTGGGCCGGAAGAAGCGCCCATCCCGGCCACACGCAAGAATGACCCAACGCAGGAGTGACCTCTGGTGCGCAGCTTGATGGGGCTCCGGGGGGGGGGGCAAGTCCGAGCGCGTAGGCCGGTGCTGGGGGGAGGACCCCTGTGGCAGCGGACCCGCGCCAAAGGTCACGCCGGTGAATGGGCCGCTCTTGTGTTCGCCCGGCTCTCCTCCTATTGGCAGAGTCCCGCCGTCGACTCCACCCGGCGCGTCTCTTCGGGTGCTCGCTCCTCCCTCCCCTGCGCCTCCCGATCGTCTGCTCTTCCTGCCTCTCCTATCGCCCCGCCTCCTCTCCCTCTCCTCCTCCCACCATCTGCCCGTCCCGCTCCCACTCCCCTACTCCGTCCCTCTGCGCTCCCTCCACCCCTCTCTCCCCACCTGAAGCCTTCCCCTCTCGGAGCCCCCTCCTCCTCCTCCTCTCCTCCTCTCCTCCTCCTCCTCCTCCTCCTCCTCCTCCTCCTCCTCCTCCTCCTCCCCCTCCTCCTCCTCCTCCTCCTCCTCCCTCTCCAGCCTCCTCCTCCCTCTCCAGCCTCCTCCCTCTCCAGCCCCCCCCTCGCGGAGCGGGGCAAAAAGGTCGAGACGGCGGCAGCTCAAGTGACCGGTCCACGGACCCCGCGAGGGGGGCGGGAACGGCACCAGCTTTTTTCCCGAGCTGCACACGACGGGGGGGCCCTCCCGCAGCCAGCCTCGTCTCAACTCGCCCTCCTCCGATCCTCCTCCTCCTCCCCAGACATACGCGGCGTCTCGTCTTTGTTTCGACGTGTGGGGCCCCTCGGGAAGCCACCCGACCCTTGCCCCCAAGACCAGCTCGTCATCCTGAGCCGTGCGTGGGACGGCCCGGGGGCCGGCGAGGGCCCGCAGGAGCCGAACGCGGCCCGCCGCCGTGACTACTTCCGCGGCGCCCTGATCTGTCGGCGCGCACAAGGGGGGTGGAGGGAGGGGCAGGGCTTCTTACGAGGCTGCTTCTTAGAAGGCGCCGGCCTTACATGCATAGGTGAGGCCCGCGCCTTCTAAGAAGCAGGGGTGCTTCCAAGAAGCCCTCCCCCCTCCCCCCACCCCCCTCTGCGCGTGGCCGATTGATTTCTGGGTCGGCCCTCCTCGTCCCTTCGCCCCGTGCCCCCTATCGACCCCTCGGAGCTCCGTCGCCTCGGCAGCTCTAGATCCGCGGCTCCGTAGTAGTCGAAATCGTCCTCGGGGGCGGTCCAGCGGGCGGCCTTTCCACTTCCGCGCTCCCGACGTCTGCCGCCCAGCCGGGAAACTGGCCTCCCTACTGCCCCTCCTCCTCCTCCTCCTCCTCCTCCTCCTCCTCCTCCTCCTCCTCCTACCCTCCTCCTCCTCTTCCCCCTCCTCCTGCCCCTCCTCCTCCTCCGCCTCCTCCTCTCCTCCTCCTCCTCCTCCTCCTCCTCCACCTCCCTCTGCATTCTCCCCTCTTTCCGCCTGTGCCGCCTTCCTCCGACCCCCCTCCTCCCTTCTTCTTCTCCCTCCTCCTCCTCCTCTCCGCCTCCTCTGCTCCTCCTCCTCCCTCCTCCCCTTTTCCGCCTCCTCCTCCTCCTTCCTCCTCCTCCTCCTCCTCTCTTACTCATCCTCATCCCACTCGCGCCCCCTGGTCCCCCTCTCCTCCTCAATCTGAACCCCTCCCTCGCCCCCTGCCTACTCCTCCTCCTCCCCTCCTCCTCCTCCTCCTCCGCCTCCTCTTCCGCCGCCTCCTCCCTCCTTCCTCTCCCTCCTCGTCTTCTCCCCTCCCCCTCCTCATTTGTTTCCCTCTTCCTCCTCCTCCTCCTCCTCATAATCGCCTTCTCAATTCCTCCTTCCCTCCAACTCTCAGCTGTCCCCCGTCTCCTTCCTGCGCCCGTCCGAGCACCCACCCCAGGATCCGCGCCCCCCCTCCCCCCCCCCGAACCTTCCAGCACTTCCAGAAAGCTTCGAAAGCACTTCTCCTCCTCCTCCTCCCACCTCCTTCTCACTCATTCCTTCCTCCTTCCTTCCTCCCTCCCTCCCTCCCTCCCTTCCTTCCTCCCTGCCTTCCTCCTCCGACTCCTCCTCCTCCAACCTTTTTCCGTATAAGCAACGCCTCCCAGTCGCACCCCCAGACGTGTCGGTAGGACGGGCTTGGCGTTTCGCCTGAGACTGCCGTAGCGCGTCTGATTATGAAGCTTGATATTTGCAACAGCTTCACGGGTGGAGGGGGAGCTGGATTCAAGACGAGGCTCTCGACCAAGCGTCGCGCAAATTCGTCTCAAACGTTCGCAACAGCTTTGCAGAGTGAGCACAAGTCGTTTTCGAAATGTGTTTCTCGCCTTGGTGCTGCGCACATTCGTCTTACAAGTTTGCGGCCATTCTGACGATTCGTGAGGTTGAAGTATCAGGAGTTGTGTTCCGGCGCGATTGAAATTTGTCCAGAAGTCCGAAGAGCTGTGCTTTGGCCTGATTTAGGATTCTTGGACGGTTCTACTTAAACGTGGCACCTCCGGCAATGAACATCAACTCGTGTATAGACCTTCAAGAGGCAGCATGGGGGAACTTGGAGGACGGGTTTGTGGTTGCAGCATCGTTGATGCGTTTTCGGTTTACACTGGTCCTCCTCCTCCTCCGCCTCTTCCTCCACCTCCTCCCCCTCTTCCTCTCACCCTATCCGGCCTCGCCTCCCCTGAGTCGTTCTTAGGGGACCACATGCGAACCCTACCCCTACCCCCCCCCACGACTTCTGAGGGGGGGGGATAGGGGTAGGGTCAAGACCCCCTCCCCGCCCGCAAGCCGTCTCGCTCACTCCCACCCGCCCTCCCAACACATACGTAGCACCCGAGTCTGGCCCGAGCCTGAGCATATTCAGCAGTCGTCTTTGGATGGGCAGCTACTGGGGGCCAATCCGCCGCCGCCGCCGCCGCCGCCGCCGCCGCCGCCGGGGCCGCCGCCGCCTGCCGCCGCCGCCGCCGTCGCGCCGCCTGCCGCCGCCGCCTGCCGCCGCCCGCAGCCGCCGCGCCGCAGCCAGCTGCCGCCAACCGCCGCCGGCCGCCAGCCGCCGCCGCCGCCCCCCGCCTGCCAAACCGCCGTCGCCGCCGCAGGCCGCTGCCAGCCACCGCCACCGCCACCGCCGCCGCCGCCGCCGCCGCAGCCGCCGCAGCCGCCGCCGCCGCCGCCGCAGCCGCCGCAGCCGCCGCCGCCGCCGCCAGGTGTACTATGTATTGTTTTTTGACAGGGATGGTGGGGGGGGCCGCATCGGGTTGGCTGCGCATGTTCCGAATGTGGAGGCAGAGTGTGGTTTGCATTCTTTTTTACAAGGAATGGTGGGGGGGGTCGTCATGGACCCTGGTTGGCCCCCAGTCGCCTGGGGGAGGGGGTGTTTATTAATAGGGTGCAGTGATTCACAAGTGGCCCCTATGTAGTTCTCAGCAATCATCTCTCCACATGTGGGAGACACCCGCGAATGCGCACCGGCCCAGGCAGGACCAGTGTCGGTGCAGACGCGCAGCGTGCCGCCTCACAGAGCGCCACACGAGGAACGAAGGGGTGGCTTCTTCTGTCCACGGTGAGCCTCGGCATCGCACGCGTTCTCCGACCTGGCTCTGAGGAGGGGCCCGAAAACGGGGGCCTCCCCTGATCCTCCTCCTCCTCCTCCTCCTCCATCTCCCTTTCCCCTCCTCCTCCTCCTCATCTTCCTCCTCCTCCTCCTCCTCCTCCTCCTCCTCCTCTCCCCCTCCTCTCCTCTCTCCCCCTCCTCCTCCGCCTCCTCCCCCTCCTCCTCCGCCTCCTCCTCCTCCTCCTTCCTCCTCCACCTCCTCCTCCTCCTCCTCTCCTCCTCCCCCTCCTCCTCCTACCTCCTCCTCCTCCTCCTCCTCCTCCCCCCTCCTCACCTCCTCCCACTCCTCCGTCCTCACTCCTCCGCCCAGGTGGTCCTCCTTTCAGCGTCTTTGCCGCACCGAGTGCACGGGAGTGCTGGCCGAAACGTCAGCGAGATCCGCCATATGAGTAGGTAGGGGAAAACGGAGAGAAGCGGAGGAGGGGTGAGGAGGAGGAGGAGGAGAGAGGAGAGGAGGAGGAGGAGGAGGAGGAGTAGGAAAAAAGAAAAGAAAAAAAAAAAAACAAAAAAAACAAAAAAAAAAAGGGAGGAGGAGGAGGAGGAGGAGGAGGAGGAGGAAGAACAAGGGAAGGAGGCGGAGGAGGAACAAGAAGAGGAGGGAAGAGAGGGGAGGAAGAGGAGGAAAAGGGAACAAGAAGATGATGCTGAGTATGCTGATTATGATGATGATGCCGATGATGATGATGATGATGCTGATGCTGATGCTGATGATGATGATGATGATGATGATGATGATGATGATGATGATGATGATGATGGTGATGACGATGATGATGATGATGACGATGATGATGACGATGATGATGATGATGATGATGATGATGATGATGATGATGATGATGATGATAATGATAATTCGCCGGCCCAACGGGCCAGGGCGTGCTAAGATCTCCGGTACCTGGTTAACAGTATTTCTAATTCGCGCGCGCGGGGCGGCCCCTGGGGGTCCCCGGACGAAAAGTACCCCGGCAAGGTCCCGGCAAGTCCCCGGCAAGGTCCCGGCAAGGTCGGGCCAGAGATGCCGGAGTTCTGTTTCGGAGTCCAAGAGGGCTCCAGATCGGTCCAAGAGGTCCCCGAGAAGCTTTCTAGGCGGTCCAAGAGAGGCCCGAGACGGCCAAAGATCGCCCTAAGACGCCCCAGATGGCCCCAAGACAGCCCAAGAGGCCTCCAAGACGCTCCAAGGGCCTTCCAAGAGGCCTCCGAAGAGGGCCCCAAGTTGCCAAAATCGTTGATTTTCATTTGTTTTTTCTATGTTTTTTGCGTTCTGGCCTTTTCGCTTCCGGACGCTCCAAGAGGGCCCAAGAGGCTTTCAAGACTGCTCCAAGACGGCCCACGAGGCTCCCAAGACGGCCCCGGAGCGGCCCAAGAGCGCCCCCCCAGACGGCCCAAGTGCTGCCCAAGGCGGACCAAGAGGCCCCAAGACGGGCCCAAGAGGGGCTCAACAAGGGAGCCGAGAACTGAAAAATCGAGCCCTCCGCCCCAGAAGGCGCCCAGGACCCCGAAAGAGGCCCCAAGAGACTCTCCAAGACACCCCGAAGATTATGGTGGGCTGCCTCCCCCCTGGGGTGGTCCAGTGCGCCCGCACTGACAGTTGGGCAACGCACTCGGTGCGGCCGGCCAGGGGCGCTCGAGAGACCCAACCGAGACCTCGAGACCCCGCCAGCCGACGCACCAGACCCACCAGGGAGGGAGGGCGGGGACGCTGGCGACGCCAGCCAATAGCCCTCGGCCCGCAGACGAAGCATCGTTCGCCAAGCGCCCTCCTGGGGCACCGTCGTCGGTCCGCAGACGCCAACTCCGAGCACCACGAGGTGCGCTTGGGCCCTCAGGGGATCCTTCGGGCCCACACGGGAGCCTGCGACACGGCGCCCCCCTTGCCAGGCCCTCGGGCCGCCAGGGAAGGCACAACACAACTACCCCCTCGGGAGCGAGTGCCGACACTTGATACCCCGCCTCGGACTCGGGCGGAAAACAATGCAGCCAGTAGCGACGAATCCCCGAATCCAGCCATGGCGACAAGGACGCAGCCTGCCCAGAATCTTCTTCCCCAGGAGCCAAGCTCAGGGACGACGAAGATTATGGTGGGCTGCCTCCCCCCTGGGGTGGTCCAGTGCGCCCGCACTGACAGTTGGGCAACGCACTCGGTGCGGCCGGCCAGGGGCGCTCGAGAGACCCAACCGAGACCTCGAGACCCACTGCTGGGGCTCACGGCGACCCAGGCCGCACCCCCCACTGCTGACGACGTGACCGCAGCCCTGGAATACCGACGCCACTGCAAACGCCACGCCGGGGAGGGCTGGGGGGGAGGGGCGGCGGAAGGCACGGCGCAAACACTCCGCGCATGGAAGCGACATTTTACTGGCTCACGGCGCCGGCGACCCCTCGGACGCAGACGACTCTGAGAACTCAACGAGCCACTCCGCCGCGGTCGCCGCGTCCCGCGACGCCGCGGAAGCGTAACCGAAGGCGGCCACTCCCCGCCATCCCCCGCTGTGGAACAGCGCTGGGACGCCTCCGGCCGCCAGGCACTCGTCCGCCCACCCGCGGCGGAAGGCGCGCGTGCCCCGCTCTCCCGCGCGCTCGAGGCCCAGCGCCAGCGCCGCCACCTTCAGATGGGCCAGGGCGTGCCTGTATGACAGCGCCGGAAAAACCCGCCCTGTCTGCGCGCGACCGCGCAGCGCGCACACCCCGCAAAGCTGCCGGGACTGCAGGGCACAGATGCACCGCCTGGACACGACCGTCGTCTCCGTGTACGTCTTGCGCCGATGCAGGTGCACGCTGGCCGTCGGCAAGCCGTCCACGGTTGACAGGACTACCTTGGAGTGGGGCCCGTCTGCCTGCAGTGGCACCAGTTCGGACGCGAAGCGGAAGCAAAACTGCCTCGCCACTACGAACGCATCCGCTGTCTCGGGATCGCCCAGAACCTCCCGGACGTGCTGCGCCAAGGAACGTGTCTGTCGCGCCGACGCCCGCGCCCGGAACCGCCGAGTGGCCACAGCCGCTTTGCTCGCACCACGCGCCAGACACGACGTGTCCTCCAGGCACCCCAGCGGCATGTGGAGCAGCCGGAGCACAGTGCGGACCTGCGTGCAGTAGGTCATCAAACTGGCACCGTTTTGCACTGCAAATGCGAATGCCCCGAGCACTGGCTCCGACGGGGGCCAAGCATCAACCCCGAGGTTCCGGGCCACTTGCCCCCACAGGCGCACCGGAGAAGCATACTTGTATGCGCTCCGGTGCCACGCGAGCAACTCGCGTCTGAGAAGTTCCTGCGTTGCCATGAACCCGGCCATCTCGGGCCCAATCTGGGCCGCGCGCTCCCGCGGATTGCCGGGGATGCCACCGTGGCGCTTCTCCCACGCAAGCTGAAACTCCTCCGGCGTGACGCGGCCCAGCGTCTGCACCGCGTCCGCCATCTCCCCGGGGCCCACGAGCTCGCGCCGGAGGCGCGCTGCAGCGAGGAAGCCGAGCGCCGCCAGCGCAGCCTCGCCAGTCTCCGCGGCATGCCCTGTGGCCGGCGCCTCGTCCTCTGCATGCGCGGGCCCTCCTGCTGGGGGAACCTTGCTGGCCGCCGGCGCAGGCGCGCCCCGCTGGGCGCGGGCCTCGGTCTGCGCGGCAGGCTGCCCCACCGCGGCGCGGGCCGGAACGGTGGACAAGGCCGCCACGAACTCGTCTCGAAGCCCGTGGAGACACGGCCACACGTCCTTCAGCTCTTGGACGCCCAAGCCGGAAAAATCCGACCCGTCAACAGCGCCCCCCGCTGCCAGGCCCCTCAGAACGCACTGGGGCGACGGCGGATGGCACGCGGGAGGCGCGCGCTTGAGCACGGCGGCGAACCACTCGCTCAACGCCACTGGGGCCAGCGTAGGCACCGCCGGGTCTGCCAGCGGCGGCCCGATCAGGTTTGCCGGTGACGCGCGTGGGGCCAGCTCAGGGCCGCCATCGCCACGAGGCTGCTTGCCCCGCAGGCGTTTCCGGTCCATCTTGGGCCAAACCGGCTACGGATGACAAGGAATGCGGGCCCAGTCAGCCTGACTGACGGCAACGGACGACCGACATGCATTACTTGTTTTCCTTGAGCGCACAATACTTTTTCCCTCGCTGGTTCACGCCTGCCAAAAGTCTACTGACGGCCAAGCCCACTCGAGCCGGGAAAAGCCACTGGCAGCCAAACGCTGCATCTCGCTCGCCTTCAGCTCCTCCCGGGTTGGCCAATCAGCAACATTGAGATGCGACGGCACGCGAAAAACGCTAAGAATATGGGCGCGGTCTGCCGCGGCGAACCATATGCCAGACACTATGTCGTTCCAGTCGCGCTGCCGTGAGCAGCCGCGAAGCAGGGTGCCCAACGCCACTGTCGAGTCTATGAACAACACGATGTCGAGGCCACCCGCGTTCGCGGCTGATTCAAAGAAATACCACAGAGCGCAGACAGCGGCCACCAGCTCCCACGTGGCGATTTGCTGCCGGCGGAAGCACGCCCACTGGTTGAGCCAGCGGGGGACTCGCGCGGAAGCAAAAACTTTCTGGCCTGCAAGCGCCGCGGCCCAAGCCAGCGTGCCTGCCCCTGTAGCGTCTGTGTAAACCACCAAGCGCGGTTTGCTTGATGGCTCCAGAGGCAAACTCCTACGAGGATTCGTTGCCAGAAACCGTTGCCACCATTCAAGCGCCCTGACCAGACGCATCGGCATCCGGCTGCTGCTGCCATACGCGTGCCGGAACAGTGGGGCGAGGTACGCGCGCGCCCCCTTGCCAAAAACTTCCGTGGCTCCCCAGCTGAGCCGCCCGGCTAGTTTCTGCGCGCCTGCTGGGGAGAGCCTCCGGCTGGCCAGGATGTCTGAAATCTCTGCCAACCACATGGTGCATTTTTCGGCCGGCGCGACAAAATGCAGAGACCGCGCCCCTGCGTCGAGGGACACGCCCACGCCGAGTGCAGTGAAACCGCGAGCGGCGGTGACCTCCTTTTGAGTGTCAAGCCGCCACCCGAGCAGCTCCTGGATCACAGAGCGGGCGACGGACGCGCTGGTGGCTGCAGTATCGTTGCCGGCCATAGCACTGTCTGCATCTGCTCCAAAAAAGTCGTCCACGAAACGCGGATACACTATGCTGAACAGATTCAGAAGAATGCGCTGGAAGGCAATGCCCACGCGCTGCCACGCGTGGACACTCGCTTTCGCCCCAAACGGGCAGCAGAGCAGCTGCAGGAAAGACCCCCGCTCAACCGAGTCAGCCGTTACGGCGGCTGCAAACGGCATGTGGTCTTCGCGCAATGGCAACGTCTTATACGCACTGCACACGTCGTCCTTCCGGAACCGGATGTGCTCCACGCCGGTCCCGCCAGCGACTAACGCCTGGACGGTTGCTGCCAGGACATCGAGCGTCTCGTGCTCAATGCACTCCAGCGCCGCGGCCGTGGAATTGACCCCAGAGGCTGTGAGGTCATCGATGGCCCGTACTTTCAGGGGCCACCGGCCGTCCACGACCCGCCAACCCTCGTCGGCAGCGAAGCGCGGCGAGAGCACGACGCCGGCGAGGTCGGGCGGCAGCGGGCGCCAGCCAGCCTGGCCGGCCCCCACTTCAACGCGCGCGCGCTCGCGCAAGGCCTCGGCCACGTTAACATCCGATGGCCTTGCTGCTCTGACTCTCTCAAGAATGCGTTCGTTCTGCTCCGGCGCGCCCTGGAGAAGCTGCTCGGGGGACTCACCGGGCAGCCCAGCGCGCGGGCGCATAACGCCGCTGCGTGGTATCTCCCCGACGAGGGGGAAACCGTACGCCAGATCTGTCGGTAGCGCGAGGTCCGGCGAGCCGGCCGCCTCGAGCATTTCGGCAAGCAGCACCAGATTCTTCTCCGGCCCCAGGATGGACCGCACGTGGGCGGGCAGGCCCGCGTATTGAGCCAGCCACGCTGGAGCCGTCACGCGCTGGCGGTGCCGCCAGAATGCCAGCTGGCGGGTCCTGAACGACAAAACTGCACTAGGGTCGGCGCAATGCCAATTAATCGCTGACCTGTACGCCTCGGGGGTCTCCAACACCCCGGTGCACCTCGGGAGGCGCAGCGCCCAGTCTAAATGGCTCAGGGGGCCCTCGCACCCGGAACCGGAAGGGTCCTGTAAACACGTGTCCACTGCATCGCGGAGCGCAGCGAAACCGCAGGCGGCGCCGGGGGCACCAGCAGGGCTCTCTGAGAACCCCTCCGCGTCGGAGGACGCGTCGCTCGGGTCGCTCTCCGGGCCGTCTCACCAGTTCGACCACTTCTGCTCGGGCTGCTTCCAGGCCTGCTTCTTGCCCCAATTCTGCTCCCACTTCTGCTCGGGCCCCTTGCCCCCGGCGCCCTTGCCTTTCGGCTTCCTGCTCGCCGCCGGGCTCCTGGAGCGCTGCAGCACGGGCGACGCCGGGGCCGGCGAGGTCTTGGCGCCGCCGCCTTTGCCGCCCTTCTGGTCACCCTTGGGCGCCCCGGCGTTGCCGCCAGCAGCGGCGGGCTGCTTCCCGGTCACCCGGCTGGCCTCCTCGGCGCGCTTCGACACCTGGTGCTTGGCGTCCTGCAACGCATCCCTGTCGAGCTTGCAGAGGAGCGCCTCGATCTGGTCGTTCTGGCCAAGCTCCAGCGCGTGGGCGAGCTTCTGCCGCAGGAGCATGTCGTAATAGAACACGACGCGGCCGCCACCCTGCTCCTCTGACATTTTGACCAGCTGGAGCTCGTAGGCCCAGAACTGCACCGGGGTGATCACCTTGGACAGCACCATCTTGAGGCCCCAGTCGTGCAGGTGGCCCATGAAGTTGGCGAAGCCCAGGAAGCCAGTGCGCTCCTCTGCAGTGCGGGCGCGCTTTGCCTCCCGGGCATCCCGCGCTTTGTCGTCCAGTGAGCCAGACCCGAGGAGCAAGTCCAGCTTGGGTGTCTTGGAGAAGCCGGGCCGGAAGTTGACGATCAGATCCTCGCCCTCGGAGGACCCGACCCACTTGCGGTTCTTGTCTCTTGCGACCCTGGCGGAGGCAAGGTTCTCCATTCGCAGCAGAGACTCCTCGGTAGGGAGCAACTCCGGCGACAGTTTCTGGATGCACTGCAACCCAACCTCCGTCACCCTGGCCTCCAGGTTGAAGCTCACGGTGCCGCGCTTGGCCTCCTTCTCGGCCTTTGCGTTCTGGACCTCCGCCCACTTGGCGATGGCCTGCGCCGTCTGGTCTGCCTGGCTACTCGGGCCCGGCGCGCTCGCGGCCGATGACTGCTGGGCCTTTGATTGGACCCTTAACGCCAAGTTGACGTGAGCCGGCTTGACCACGAAGGCCTTCCACTGAACGCCCTCGCTCTCGTCGGGGAAGGGTTTCGTGTTAACCGCCATCCCCGAAATGATGAATTGGCGCATATGGGCGTCGCAGATGTCTGCCGGCTCCACCGACCCCGCCACGTCGGCGAGCACGCGGGCCGTGCTGGCGTAGAAGAACAAATCGTGTTTGTTCTTCGGCTCCTCGTCCACGGACATCACGTAGTCGACCCAGGCCGCACGCTTCTCGAGCGAGTCGACCCCGAACGCAGACTCGGGAAGCCCGGCGAGCGCGGCGCGGACCTCGGAGCCGGTGAACGCCATCCGTCGTGAGAGCGGGTGTGGCCGCGAGAGAACTGTGAAAGCCTGGGCTGCAGTCGCAGAAGAACAGGCCGCGCGGCAGAGTCCTCGAGCCCAAAAGGCAACGGGACCACGATTGGCGATGGCCCAAAAGGCACGGAACCACCGAACTGCTCGTGAAAGGATGATAGGGTGCTCCCAGCAGCCTCTTTGCAAAGGTCATTCATTTTGCGAATGCCCTCTTAGGAAGCGCGGCTACCGTCGCAGAACAAGACACGTGGAAACGGAACCCGCTGGATTGATCCACGCCCCCCTGGATTAATCCGGGGCTCTTTGCGCACAGGAAGCGGCGCCCTTGGCACCAGCTGCGCGCACCGCCTCTCCATTAGTGGAAAGAAGACGAACATGCAACACCCCAGGGCGCTGGCGGGCCAGCGGACGCACGGAACAGGCATTCCAGAGAGCTTGCCGGATCGAGCACGATTGCACGAGCCCGCCGTAGCAGAAGGCGCACCCACGCAAACGAGCGAACGTGACGCGGCGCTGAAGGCGAGGTGCTGTCTCGGGAAAGTACAGAAGACCCTTCCGCCCCCTATCCCCGTCTGCGACCTGGATGCACCACCCAGGCCTGCAGACGGCGTCATAGGGGCACGGGCGTACAGACTGAGAAACGCGTGCGCACAGGCGCACCGCCACTCCATTAGAGCTAGAGCTCTGTCGCCCGCCAGCGTGACAAGGGCGGACCGACGGAAAACAGACGACCACCGACAGGGAAGCGCAGTTATCGTCGCAGATGAGCGTGCCCGTCCAGCGGGCCACCCAACCGTCCAGGGCCTCGCACGAAGCCGCCCCCGTCACGCATAGGACATGGTCCGCGCAGGCCCCGCGAGCCAACACGCCCCTCACACCCATCACTTTTCGATTTTCCAATTAGAGCGGGGGGAGCGAGGAAAGAGAATCAATGATGGTGTGAATTACGGGGACCCGCACGCAACGAGGACCTCGAGGGCCTCGGTGCGGTCAAGGCGGCGCGCCGCCAAGCCCAAGCTGCCCTATGGGGCAGGGGGGCGAATGCTGGCCGACCAGCGGCCCAGCAACCAGGAGTACTCCAGAGTACTCCGCCCCTGTTTGTGGGGCTGCCCTCGGACAGAGCCCTGCGTGGGTTTGGCCTCGGGCAGGGACCCTGGGAAGGGGTGTCCTCGGACAGAGCCCTGCGTGGGTTTGCCCTCGGGCAGGGACCCTGGGAAGGGCTGCCCTCGGACAGAGCCCTGCGTGGGTTTGCCCTCGGGCAGGGACCCTGGGAAGGGGTGTCCTCGGACAGAGCCCTGCGTGGGTTTGCCCTCGGGCAGGGACCCTGGGAAGGGAAGGGGGCTACGGACAGAACCTGGTCCCCGTCTGCGCGTGGAGACGGAATGCGCCCTCTCTCCGCCTTGTCAGGGTTGCCTTGTGCGCCCTTTCGTCCACACTGCACCGGCGGTTGGCCGAGTGGACCAGCTGGTTGCCAGGGTTGCCTCGTGCAGGGGCCCTGGATTAATCCAGGCGGGGGCTGGATTAATCCAGCCCCGGCGCCAGAGCCCGTCGTCGGTCCGCAGACGCCAACTCCGAGCACCACGAGGTGTACTTGGGCCCTCAGGGGATCCTTCGGGCCCACACGGGAGCCTGCGACACGGCGCCCCCCTTGCCAGGCCCTCGGGCCGCCAGGGAAGGCACAACACAACTACCCCCTCGGGAGCGAGTGCCGACACTTGATACCCCGCCTCGGACTCGGGCGGAAAACAATGCAGCCAGTAGCGACGAATCCCCGAATCCAGCCATGGCGACAAGGATGCAGCCTGCCCAGAATCTTCTTCCCCAGGAGCCAAGCTCAGGGACGACCAAGACGCCCCAATAAGCTCCCGTGAGGCCCCAAGAGGACCAACAACGTCAGGCCCCAGGCCCCAAGAGGACCAACAAATACCGCCAAGAGCCCGCCGAAAGCCCCCCAAGAGACCGTCACGAGAGCTCAGGAGGCCCCCTGGAGGCCTCCCGAGTTCTCCAAGAGGCCTAAAAGAGGCGCCAAGAGGCCCCAAACGGCCCCACCGAGGCTCCAAGAGGCCACGAA